CCATTAGCAAATATTTACTGAGCAGTACTGTCTGCAGGGTCCTGACGGAGGTGTTTGGTTACCCGGGTCAGAGGCTGCCCTCCCGCCCTGCAGCCCTGAAGACAGACCAACCATAAAGGGAAACTGAGCTTAGCAGGAGCTCGAGATACCAGACACACCAGCCTTGGAACTGGGCAAACGCCGGAGACACACGACCCCTCATTTTTGTCCTGAAGACAAAAGTTTTGCATGTTTTACTGTCCTCTCTCTCACGGTGGCTGGAATGCTGGTTGAGGCGAGGGAGGAATCAGAGCCAAGGAGAGAAACGGGGTGAGAGCTACAATGACGGGCGGAGGGAGTGACAACGGAGCGAGAGGCCGGGGGAGCTGAGGGACGATGCTCTGGGGTCTGAGTGGGGAAGGAGACGGGACGGGCGCCTCGTCAGACATGATGTCCCCAGGGGCTGGGATCATCTTCTCCGTTTGTCCTCCATGGTCACCAGGGCACTGAGCTTGGTAGGTTTCCCTGTCTCCCTTTACTGGCCACCATGAGGCTGTGGTTATCAGTGCCCTGCTTCCTGCAGCCCCAGGTGGCCGCGCCAGGCTCCCAGGCCAGTCCCTCGCCCACGGCCTCTAAAAGAGAAAGTCAAGATCGGCGAGTGGGAGGACCCTGCTCACCCCGTTTCCAGTCGTCGCTGCCCACGCCGATGCCCTCGTTCGCAACCGGTCATCCTGAGCATCTCTGCCGCTAAGCCCACCGTACTCGGAGGACCCCAGCCTCCCCCGGGAAGGGCTGCACCTGCTCCATAAAAGTCTGTCTCTGTACCTTTGCTCACACCCTCTCTGTATCCAAAAGCCCAGCTATTCCATCTACCAGAATCCAACCTTTGTCTTCAAAATCCAGGTCCTCTGTGCAGCTTTTTCTGATGCCTGCCCTCAGTTAACCTCTCTCTTCTCTGCGCCGTAGAATTTTGTGACTCGATTGTAAACACTGCTTCTCACAGCGAGTCATGCATATAAACAGTGCCTTTTTCGTGCTGTGTCTAACTAAACCCCTCTTCTCACCAAACCCCAGCGAGTACCAAGCAGATGCTCAGGATAATGTGTTGATTGACTTGTTGGACTGAATGACTGAGGACATGACAGCTGTGATCAACCGAGAGTCCACACTCACCATTTCCCAGGCCACCCGGATTGTTTCCACGGCAGAGCCCGCCGCTGAGTGGAGATGTCATCTGATTTATTAATTAACGCAAACACCATTCATCCAAATGCTCCAGGGCATGGTTAGAAAAAAAAATCCAGAACATTTTAAAAATGATAAAAATAACTTTTACCAGCCTAGAAATAACTGAAGTTTTATTCCTAGTGCTTTGGTCCCAGCATCAACCCCGCCTTCTGCATCACCCAGGCCCTGTCGGCCCCCACCAGTTAGTTGTCCCCTTTTCCCACCTTGCTTCCCAGGTGATTGACAGAATTCCTGCCAGTAAGGCTGGCTAATTGGGTTAATGGAGTGACTGTGTTTTTTGTTCTCTCCACCACCCAACCCACCATGCTGGCTGCTTTCCACTACCTGCCTCTCATCTGTTCCAGGATCACTAATTTGCAACAACAACTTCCATTGTCGGCCACATCTGGGACTGTGGGGTTTTAAGTGAATCTCCTCAAGGCAGAGAACAGAAGATGCTGCTATTTTGGTTTGTCTCATTGACAATGGGGCCATTCTCTGGGGTTCACGGCAAGCGGGGGAAATCTGAGCAGCCGTGGGACCCAGGCCAGAGCACAGTGTGCTGAGGAGGAGGGAGGCCAGCAGGTGGGGGGAAAAATTCTGACCTTTTCTTCCCAGCTACTTGGGTTTGCATTTCATTTTAATCAGTTTCAGATGAAACTGACAAGCCAGGAGCCTCTGGAATCTCAATGGCCCCGGCCTTTGGCCTCTGGTCTCTAGAACTCCTAGCATGTGACCTGGCCTGACCCAGCTTGCCCCAGAGGAGGCCGCACTGAGGGTGGCCTTTCTGATCCCCAAGGCTCTCAATGGTCTTGGAAAAAAACAAGGCTTTTCCCCTCTGTTGTTTTTTTGAGGTACGTTCATTCTGCCTCAATCTGTTACGCCTTAAATGGATCGCTGCCTGCCCTAAGTATGGAAATGTCAGCATTCCGGAGCGAGGTGCTGGGACAGCGAGACGCAGCCTCCAGGAGCCCTGAGACAGGCCTGAGGGGTGCCTTGTTGGTGCGGGTGGCCTGAGGGTGCTAACGCCGTCTTTGATCTCCCAGTCCCTCCCGCAGGGCTCTGGGAAGGGCCTTTGTTTCTTAGGGTGACCTCTATCTCCGCCCGGGCCCCTCCCTCCTCTTCGTTTGTACCCCACCCCCAGCCTCAAGGCTGTCCTTATCTTTTCTGTCCCTAGGCAAACTGCAGGGCTTCTGATCCCAGAATCCCTGAAAGCTGAACGTGGTTACCTGAGCGTCAGCCCTGGGCAGATCCCACAGACACACCCCCATCCCACCCAAACGCCTGGGTGGGCAGGGGATGCTCGGACCCTCTTGAATCCCCAGTGTCCTGCGCCCTGTTGTGGTAGGTGCTCCATAAATGCTTATTTCTGCCTTCGGTTTTGATTATTTGTAAACTTGCCTGAACCCTGTACCCTCTTCCGTTCTCATCAGCAGGTGAGCTTTCTTGTTGTACGTGTTGGTTTTCCCTGCAGCACACACTGCCTGGGTGACTGACGAGAAGAGGCGCTCAGTAAATAAGTAATGGATTTCACTGGATCGGAAGTTTCTGGCAATCAAATAAGAGCGGAGGTTCTTTCCAGAAAGGAAGAGATTGACCAGAGGTAACCAAACTCACCAACACCTTTCCCAGCCACGTTGGAGGGTATGTGCTCCATGGGGGACCATTTCCAGTCAGCCTTCAGGTACGTGACTCCACGCGACTGTCTGCACACCACTGCCCTCCGCTGGACACTGAGCCAAAGCTGCCCCGAGACCTGGTCCACGTCAGAATGCCCTCAGGTGTCCTTCCCATCCATCCTGGACACAGCTACTGGACAAACTGGTTTCCTGGCTGGCTGCTCTTACCAAGTTTGTTTCCCCCTGACCACCGTGCATTGAATCCATGAAACCTGAGATGAGACGAGAGAAAACAGAGCTTCTCTGACTCCCTGGTACATCGTAGGTTCCCTAAATACTCAACGCGTGAAAATCAACACCGTGACCCACGTTCCTGGCACGCCAACAGCACTGTGGACTGTTATTATAATTATTAATTAAGAATCCATTTAAGAACCTAGAGTCTAGAACAGCTAGGATGCTGATGATTTTTCGAAGACAACCGAGGACAAGAAAAAGGCACAAAGAGCTTCAAGCAGAAGAATTAAAAAACAACCAGTTATTTCTCTCTGTCTTAACAACAACAAAACCTTCCTCCTTTGGGAAAAGATAAAGAAAGGAGAAAGTAAACACGTACACTGCCAACTCTTGTAGATGAGACTGCTCTCTCCCTTACTGTGACGTGTTTTCTGTCTTCAATAGTAGGTATTTGTGAGCTTGCCTTATTATCTCTGCCTCTGACCTTATTCGCTTATAAGCACTTTGTCTGGCACAATGACTGGCCTGTAAAAAGTCTACAATACATAGTTATTGAATTCCTGGCAGTCGAATGTAGTATAAGAGTGGCTAACAATTTGCCAATGGCAATAGGAAAATAAGCAAAAATGGAAGCAGCACTTATTACTTATAAATTGCTTCAATTTGCTAAGAAATTATTTTCAACTCCCAAAATTGAACTCTGGGGTTAGCCCAGGGCCTGGCAGGATATATGAGTCTGAAGTTTCAGGAAGAATTCCGGACTAATCAGAGTTCCAGGAGTCACAGAGCATGGGGTGGACCTGAAGACCCAGAGCATCGCCCAGGATGGGCTATAGAAGTTGAAATCGAAGTCTGGGACCTCGGGACTGGATGCCGAAGGACCAGGGGGTACAAAGGAGGCCAGGACAGAGGCAAAGCAGGAAAAGCCAGAGAAACGAAGGAGGAGAGAGGAAGAGTAGAACCAAAAAAGCCAAGGACCTAGGGAGTTTTCAGGACAAAGGAGTGGCCTCTTGCCTCAAACGCAGCTGAGTAATCTAGTCAAGACAGGATTGAGAGCTGATGGCTGGATTGGGCAATAGGAAGGTCAGTGGTGACCTGTGAGAGCATCTGGTGACCTCGGTGAAAGCTGCTTCAGTTAGGGGGGCGTAGGTGGATAGAGTGGAAGGCGCCATGGTGAGAATGGCATTGAATGGGAGGCAAGGACGTGAAAACCATTGCAGGAGGCAATCGATGTAGAAGAAAGAACAAGGGCTTCTGGTTTTGACCTCGCACCCAGGCTTTGCCTCCCAATCCGGCTTCCCTATCAACTTGACACTGGTGACATTTTCTAAAAATCAAAATTAATCCTACCGCTTCCTGTTGTGATTAACATGCGCTGGCTTGCCGCTTGCTAGACAACGAAGAGCAAAGTCCAATACAAATCTGTTTAGTATAATTTATTTCTCAGGCTTGGTTTCTTCATTACCTATAAAGGAGAGGTGCACAGGTCCATATTCCCTTTTCCTAAATTCTTGGGGCCATGCGTGTTTTGGAATTCATAGCTTGTCGGAATTCCAGAAAGGGAATATGGTACACATGCCCTATAGTACAGAGCCCAGACTCCACCCTATAATCAAACGCACCAAGTAGGACAAATCAAGACTATAAACAACCTCACCAGAGGTCAGGTTAAGTTTTCCACCAAAGAAGTCACTAAGGTGCTTTGGTTTTTCAGAACTTTTCAGATTTTTGGAACTGTGATAAGGGACCACCCTCACAGGGTCGTTTTAAGGCTCAGATGAGTTATGCGTGGAAAAATGAAGCCCAAAGGGTAACCACAAAGAGAGCAGAGGCCTCGCTCCTCTCTCTTCTGTGTGTGTGTGTGTGTGTGTGTGTGTGTGGGTGTGTGTGAGAGAGAGAGAGAGAGAGAGAGAGAGAGAGAGAGAGAGAGAGAGAGAGGGAGAGAGAGCAGTTTACAAAGAACACTCTGATAGCCTTGTGGAAGCCATTTCTCCACAGCTGAAAAGAAAAACCTAATTTAAGGAATGCAGCCAAATGTAGCTGGGGATAGTTGAATGATCAAGGACAGATCCGCCGACCTCTTCGTCATCTTGATTTCTCTTTCTCTTTAGGGGCGGAGGCTGGGCTTGGTGAAGCTGGAACTCAGTGATGGGGACCCTCACTATGGCAATCACTTCTTTACTGTCACCTTTCCTGCTAAGCTATGAGCTCTATGAGGCAGGGACTAGGTCTGTCTTATTCACAGCTGGGTCTCCAGTGCCCAGCACAGTTCCTGGTGCTTGCCCAGAATGGGCACTTGATATGTGCTTTGATGAATTGAAAGGAAATTGATCTCTTATATTCCGTGTTTTGACAGAAGGCAAAGTTGGCATTGTCTTAACTTCAAGCAAAAACTTCTCCTCCCTGACTCTGCCCTCTCTGCCTCTCACTTCTGTTCTTCATGGCTCCCCAGCCCATCTTCATTAACTAAGGACTTGGGCCCCTGGCTCACAGCCTTCTTCATCTTCTCCCCTTTCTTGCTCAT